TCAAATAAAGGTCTTTCCTAAGTGTTTTGGCTCTTTGTGGCAAAAGCACTGGGCTAGAAGGAATGAGATAGAGGTTCAAAGCCAGGCACAGTCATTTATTAGCTAGATTAACTTGGGCAAGTCACGTACTTCCTGAGCATCAGTTTCTCCTCCTGGAAACAGGTGATATCTTCCTTATCAAACTGGTGTAGAAGTAAAGGAATAAAAAACATCAGGGCTTTCCTGAGATGGTAACAATTTGTGTAAAATGCTCAGCACAATGTTAATTATTATTAAATACAAGAAAGTGTCTAGACCTTAACATTGTATTCATGGTTCATAAAATGCTTACTCCCAAGTGTATGCAGCATTTTAGCAACTACTAAATACACAAAGGTATCCTAAGAACTCAAGACTTTAGGACACACAAAAAAATGGAAAAATGAGTAATCGCCTGTAGGGAGTATCAGGATTAGGAGAAACGATACCCTACATTTTTTAAACCTAGAAAACTCAGATTTTAGCTGGGCATCAGTGGCTCATGCCTGTAATCACTGCTACTTGGGATGCTGGGATCAGGAGGATCACAGTTTGAGGCCAGCCCAGCAAATAGTTTGTGAGACCCCCCATCTCCAAAGTAAACAGAGAAAAATGGACTGGAGGTATGCCTCAAGTGGTAGAGCACGTGCTTTGCAAGCTCCAAATCATGAGTTCAAACCCCAGTCCTAACAAAAACCAAAAACTCAGATTTTTCTAAACACAAAGATGCTATATTTTATAAAAAGATAAACACTAATTAGGACATGAAAAATTACATCCCCACCAGGTGTGGTGGTGCACTCTTGTAATCCCAGCCCTTGGAGGCCAAGTGTTAGGCACAGCTATTATTCCAGCAACTTGGAGACTAAGGAGGATCACAGATCATGAGTTTGAGGCCTGGCATAGCTATAAAGGGAGTTCAAAACCAGCCTGGAATACATAGTGAGACCCTGTCTTAAAACAAACACAAACAAAAAAGGGGGAAAAGGATATCCTTTGCAAGTAATTAAATAACAGCAAATGTAAGTATGTTTGTATATCTAAAATAAAAGGGCTCGTAAGGTTGTGGCCACACTAAGATGCTGCTTCTCTACTAGTTGCTTTGGAAATGTCCTATTTCTTAGAAACCCAGCAATATGTAACTAAAGGCATAAAAGCATTCTACTTGTGGATCTTTCTTCAAGGAAAATAACTCAGCAGGAGCAAAAAAAGGTGTATATCAAAACTAAAGGAAATCTTTTCTTCCTCCTTTCTTTCCTCCACCAAGTGTCCCCCCACTCCCCAAAAAACTACAAATAACTTAAATTTCCAACTAGGTGAATGGTTTAATATATTGGAATTAACCAATATGAGGGAATATTATGCAGCCATTAGTTGTGAGGACTGTTCAACAGGGAGAATGGTTAAGATCTAATGTGCAGTTTAGCATGTGCACTATTCCTGGAGCTATGAGAGCTAAGATACTGGACATTTGGAAATTAATTTATGAAAATGGCAAAAGTGGTTATGTACTTACTTGGTTAGAGATTTCATTATTGTTATATTAGCTTTTAACTTTTCTAAAAATTATGTGGTTCTAAGGCAATGGCTCTTTGGAATCACCTAATAAATGCCTACTAAATTCCACACAAGGCTCGCAGTTCAGCCATCCTGCAGTGTCTCCCAGGACCCTGTTACACAGCCATCAGTATGGTCGGTGGGGGGGGGGGTCTTCACCATGAAGATTGAGGAGTGGAGAGTGGACAGTTCTCTTTTGCAACAGTATATTTTGTTTGACTTAGTTCTCTAAGGAGGTAAAAAAAAAAAGCCCAACTATAGTTTATTCCTCCTCCTCAAAGTTTAGGTGCCTTGAGTTAGATTTCCTCCCCTTTGGCGATGTTCAAATCAATATCAAGTGTCTAAGAAAGTAAGCCAAAGCACTGTGCCAGTGACGGTAAGGCTGCTCTTGCAGAAGGCTAAAATAGCAACATTTAATAATATCATTGAAGGGCCACTTCAGCTTCCTTTCTTTCCATAAGTGGTAAAAGAGTGACACCACCATCGCCGCCTCTCTCCAGGGGAACTGAGGCCCATAGCAGAGCTGCACAGAGGAATCAGAAGGAAACACTTGGCTCTTTACACAGAGTTGCTGCTCAGCCTGGAGCTTCTCTCCTAAGCAGTTTCACTAGTGGCATCACTGCCACCAAGCCAATGTCAGGAACTGGGAGGGAGAAAATTTATCCCTTAAAAAAACAAAAAGCCACTGGAAGAACTGGTAGAGCAGCAAACAGGACTGGGTCTCCCTGGACTGTCTCAGGTGGTATGCCCAGGAAAAGCTTCTGCCCTTTGTGTACTAAATGAAGACAAGTACCCCAGCTGGGAAGCAAGGAATTTGGGGTACATGAGGGCGTGGCTTCTCCAAACCTTAACAGCACAGAGCACTCAGTGACTGAGCTTGCTGGGGACCTGCTTGGCAGGGGCAGGAAGGCGTAGGGCTTATTAGCCAGTAGAATGGCGAGAACAAGATTGGTCCCAAGCCACCAAGAAAAAAATGGAGGATTTGTGCTTTCTTTCCCTTGTGGCCTTCATGTGACATTCTGCTTTTCCAAACGCCTACCTATCTATACTGATTTTTCTAATGTGGCTACAGCTTTTCCATATCTCTTGACTCCATGACTTTGTTTCAAGTCTCAACTGCAACCAGCTCTCTCTCTGCCTCAAAATTAGAATGGAAAAAGAGAATCTTTATACTAGATACTTAGGAGTGTACCTCTGAAACCAGTATCTACAGAGATGCAAGGGACTCTTGAAACAGCTCACATGCCCATAAACAGCACTGTTTTAATCTGTTGCCTACAACATACCAATGAGAAAAATCATGGTGTCGTGTCATAAACTGCTATGCAAATGATGCTATTTGTAAGTATTAACATAATTTAGTGCTTACAGTCATATTCTCATTTCTAATAATTCTCCCAGAATGGAGTCTTTCTCTGGACTCTTAGCCTGCAGGATAGTCTTTCATCACGAAGCTGAAATTTTTAATAACCTGCCAGCATATGTTTTGTATGTGCCAGGCTAGGCTTGATGACACGGTATCTTCATTATCAAAAGAAACTGGTCTCCAAACTGTAATAGGACATTAAAACATGCCTGTGCTCACGAAGTAATGCTTTGATATCTAAATGTGCACCATGACAATGGCCTTCTGGAACAAAGGGGAATCTGATCTTAGATTCTCAACAGCTAACCCAAAGGAGACAGTGGCTCGCCTGCACTCCAAACACGAGTGCACTTGGAAGGCAAGACAATGTCAGTAAAAAGAGAACAAAAAAGCTTTTCAGAACTGTTTTATTTTTATTTTCATTTTTGACTTCTCACCACACCATGGCTAAGCGCAGGCCTCAGACTGTAAAAAGATTTCTGAATACTTATTTTTTCCTTGTTAAGTTTTAAAAAATGATTTCGGTAGACTATTAATTATTCAACAGTTTCACACTGAATAACGTTAACAGTGTCAAATGTATTTGGTGACAATTTAAAATGGCATAGTTTAAAATAATCAAAATTAAATAACATACAGTGAGGCTTCTAAATATAATTCAGCCAACTGCCAGGATTGTAAATATTTTTTAAACTCAAAGTCAAACAGCTCAAATTTATCATAGTTTGCCATTAGGGAATGCTTTAAAAATTATTGGTTTTGAAATACTGAGGCCAGCAAACACTTTGCACACTAATGCTTCAGGTTTTTAAAGTTAAAAAAAGTCAGACTTGCATGGTTTACTATCAACAGCTTTGCTTCAAAAAGAAAATTCTGTACAATATGAAATAAAATCCAGTTCAGGGAGAACATAAGAGAAACCTGTATGGATCTCAAAATTAAATACATATTCTTTTTTTTCTAGGTGAGTAATTCACTTTGGTATCCCTTAAATAATATGTAAAAAGCTGGCCATGACAGGCACCACACATTCAGTCCATTCACTGTTGGCGGGGAAGAAAGCCCAGAATAGATCATGGGGAGAATGGTCACATATATCAAGGGGAAGGCTCTCTCCTGACTGTTCTCTAGATTTATTCATCATTTCAGTTGCCCAAGAATAAGGCAGTCGCCTCTAGTGTGCTCCTCCCTTCCTATCACTTGTGTCTTGATTCATGTACTTCTCTAGTGGGACACTCAAAGCAGATGCAAATTGTTTTGCACAGCCCACTGCTATGTGCGCCGGTAGGGGAGGAACCAGTTAAGGGAATTGGCCTCTCAATTTTCCTTTAACTGGTAGGTCAGCTAAAACAGATGTGGGATTAAAAAAAGCCAAGGAAATCCAGGTCTCTGGGTACAAACATGAGACAGCTTTTAGATGCCAGGTTTAATTTAAACATTAAACCATATAAAATTAATTATTAGGTAAGTCTGGAGCAGACTGAGACATTACACAACTCATCTCATAATGTACCTGGAAAAAATGTATACATTTCCACGCATACCCTAGGACCTTTACCCACTGCTCTGCTTTTGCTGGGAGATCTCTGCGGGGTGGACTATTTTCTCAGCCTCTCACAGGACCAGCAGTTACGTAAATTTCCTTGGATTGTCTTCAAAAACATATGACTGTTCACAGAATGCTATTAAACCTTAGATTCAGGTGAAAACCATTTGCTAATAGAATTTTATCTCATAATAAAACACAGGCAGTTTAGTAACAACCTTTGATCAGTTGGCATGATCGAGACCCACTTAGGACAAATGGTGAGATATGTAAAATTGCCTGAATATGATAAAAACAATAACTTCCTAATTATAATAATGAATTTGAAGACTTTTAGAGTCCAAAGAAGGGACGTTTAAAATAACCTAATCATACATTCATTTTGTATATAAGGACTGATGCCTAAGAAAGGAACTGTGGGTAGATGACAGAACTGAGTTATTGCCTCACTGAACCTTTTGTTTCAGCTCCTAACTGTTCACAGACACTGTGGTTTAAGTCAACACCGAACACTCACTTGTGCCCACTTCTTTCTCCAGCCTTCACAGCCGTATCTGTTGCTCTCCTTCAGCACCCACTGGTAGCACTCTAGGTGGGAAGTAATGTCACAAAATGCTGTCCCATTTCCTCCAAATTCCAAGTCCATTTTAAAGAGCCAGCGTTGAATTTGCAAGTGATCGGTCACCAGCTGGCTCAGCTGTTCTATGATCTGTGGGACAAAGACACAGCAACATTTCATACAGCACATTTCCTAGCTCTCATATTGACTTGGCTGTGGTGCTTTGCATGGGTGTGTCTTCACATAGTCTGTTCATTTGGCTCTCTTCTCCTTATTAAGACAGGTTAAAGAAATTTTAAGTGATGTTATCTCTGATGCAAAGAAACCATTAACCAATGGGATCAATGATATATGTTTAAAAGTACAGTCTCATTTATGAGAAATTCCAAAAATCCTCACTTATCTGACTTTGAAGGCAAAAGAAGAATTCCTAAATATCTGTAATTGAATCTTGGTATTGTTTCCTTTCTTTCTCAGAGAATTATGCATTTACTTATTGATTCCTTAAATGATTTTTTATAGTTTCAAGACTATAAAGAGTTATTGTCTTGAAAACATTAACTGTTCGGAGCTTTGTTGAGCTTTGAAATGTTATAACCTATAATACATTTGATTTTTTCTTTGTTAACATACACAAAATACATTTACTTGGCTGGTCAATTGGCCAAGTTTACTATATGTGTGTCATGAACAAGACAAAGGGGAGAAAAGATTCGTGGAATATATACCTAACCTACATCTGATCTGAAACAACACTCCCTCACAAAGTGAGCTCGAATACATGGAAATTTATAGGATAGAACAGAATTCCAAGCTTTAATATCAAAATGATGCTGACAATAATACTGACATGATTAAACTCGCTCTCAATAGAAGCTAGGCCCTTGGTTCATAAAAGTTCTTTACATGAAAATTTTCATTTAATACTCACAGTTATCTATGAGGTAGGCATAATTATTGGTTTCATTTTATGTATAAATAGAGGCTAGTTAATTTAAATAACCTGCCCCTGATCACACAGCATTGAGTGACTGGGCAAGGGTTCCTCCCATCTTGCTCTGATTCTAAACCTTGTGCTTATTCCCTCTCCATGGAGCTGTACCTCCCAGCTTGCAGGGAGCTGGAGGAAAAGTGTGATATGGAGACAGAAGTCAAAGGAGGAGCAAGAGGACTAACTTGCCTTACAATCAATGAACAATTTGGGGTATGTTTGAATCAGACAAAAGTCTATACTACTTAATTATACATAATACCATCCTAGCACAGCCTTGGAGAAAACAACTCATTAGATCACAAAATGATTTTTTGTCATGTCTTCTCATCAGACATTCCAGTGTATACTTCCCAGAAGGCAATAAAACAACACTAAACATTTTGTATCCTGAGCCTACCATGCTGTCCTTGGCTATGGCCTCCTGTACTTACTTAGGATTTCTGTGACAGTTATTCTCTTCTCTCCTGATGACTACTTTTGCCCACCAAATGGATTCTTACTTTTATTTTTTAACTAAAAAGTGTGAAAAGAACTCAAGATTTATAGTTCAGTTGAGTCTGAAGCTGTAAGATTGAAATTATTTTCTTTAAAGAGACAATCTGTTCTTTTGAGTTGTGTCTATCCACCAAATGTTCTTGGGGATACTACATGGAGTGTAGAAAAGATGACAAAATACCCACAGGTAGAGTCCCCAGAAACCTCATGCAGTTTACTATTCTGTTAGGTGAAAATGAAATTGTCTTTGTTCCCTAATTATCAAGTAATGTCTACAGATAATTTGGGTGTTTAAATGACTGGTACTCTGGTCTACACACCTTATGGCAATGAACACAGCCTAGGAAGCTTTTTTAGTGTGTATTCCGAAGTTGTTTCCCTTCTTTTTCTAATGTATTGAGAAGACAGAGTCTATATTTCATCATCTCTTGCCATATTATGATCATACTTTGCCATAAAAGTTGTCATTGGCCTGTTAACTTCAGATAAAAGATTCTTTTGCTAGTGTAAAGAAAGGTGTTCTGGCACAGTCTTTTTAATCCTATATTTGGATAAATTGTATATTTGGAAGTTTCAATTACTAACAGAATTATTATCTGTTTCTTCTAAATCCTATTATTTGTTGCTTCCGAGAATCGTATTAATGGGCATCTGTTGATGGATCCCTACAGTAATGAAAACAATCGATAGTACTGTAAAGACTGTACCACTGGAAAGAATTATGTGCTATCTTTAAGTGAAAATTGAACAGTGCTTTACAATAGCATCGCCGTTTTCTGATTATTTAACCAAAGCTGTCAGTATGTCATGGACAGCACACATCAGAAAGGGAACTTGCATGGTTACTTTATGATCAAAACAGGAAATGCTCACTGTACTCATGTTAGATTTTACAAAATTTTGGTTAATCATAAACCAAATGACTTTATGCTACTTCCAACCATTTATCATTTTCTAAGTCTATCTGCTCAGAAGATGCAATATATTTTTTAGTTGTGATCCATTTCATACTGGCAAAGATTGGAAATAGAACAATGACTACAGTGAGAATCCAACTAATGCTCAGGAATACCTTCTAGAATAATACCTGTTAAAATAAGCACAGTTTTCTTTACCAGCTTTAAGTTTATGACGCACATCAGTAAAAAGTCTGTTATTGATTCATCACGATCAGCAGATTCAAATACTGATACACTCAGATTGATTAGGTGGGATAGTCACTATATGGAAAAAAATCTCAATGGAGTATTTCAATTCTTGATGATCTCTGAAGTACATTTGCCAAACGAGCAGAGTGGAACGCCGTTATAACTTGGTTTATTGTTCTATGATTTGTACCTACCATAGGTCAAATAACACCCTTCAAATCTGATGTGTCTGTGAGGAGTTTTTTTCATCCTACTTCTTAATACTAGCACTAGACAGAGGTTGTAGCACAATTAAGAGATTGACCACAGTTAATATATAAAGTTCTAAAATGTTTCAGAGCAAAGATTGCCTGGGTTCTCATCAGTGAAGATGAAACCAAGAGTTGATACAAATATTGCATGTACATTTTAAAGTCTTTAAGATTGTTTAATATGTGTAGTGTGAAATTGTACCATTTTAAAGTATATTTTACTTGTCTTAAATCTACCTGCCAAAATTCTCCTGGGAAGCAGTCACTCAATCCACCTTGCTATCTTCAAATTCCAGTATAGGTTAACAACAATAGAAGTGACACACCAGCCCACAGGGAGCCTCTTTCTCCACTCCTAGTAAAGCTTCTAGTGCTTCCTCCATGAGCCCAGCTGTCACCCAAGAAAGCTCAGAGCATCTTCAAACTAGTCTCTGTAAAGTATGATTTGTTGAAAGGCTTGATTTTGGTGCTCAGTGGCCTTGAGTTACAGACATCATGAGAGTAGGAAGGGATCCCCAGATGCTGTCCCTCATTAACTGTCTCATTGTGTTCTTTAGTTTCCCAAGAAGTGAGTAGAGGAGATAATTTGTGGTTGGCTCAGAGTAACGGTCAAGAGATGTGCTGAAAAAGAGGTTAGGAAATGTTAACAGCCATTTGTCTTTTAATTTTCTTTGTTATGAAAACAGATGGCAGTTAAATGGAGTACACCTGCCAGAGATAATTCAAGGGGAAAATATTTCTAGTCGCTAATGTATCTCTGCAAATATTTTGGACCCCAGCTTTCTGTTGGAAGAACAAAGCCACAGACCTGGTCTGAGGCAAAACCAGAAGTGGTTATATTCATTTTACTTCCCCATTCTGGGATCTTTCCTCTACTCCCTTTAGGGTTCTTCCTGAGGGTCAATGTATTTTTCTATAGAGCCAAGGATGTTGGCAGCCCTCTGCTGTCCAACCCAGCAGCAGCGAGGCTCACTCACTGGAGCTCTCCAAACCTGCTTGCTTTAGCCAAAACTGACTCTTGTGTTTCTTAAGGGCCTACTAAATGACTGGCTGGCTGACATGATGATGAAGTGATCCATGCTGAGGCATTCAATATTGATACAGTCATAAAGAATTTTAATAGTCTTCAATGCCTTAACCCAAATGATAAATATTTTGGAAATTTCAGCAATTTTTGCAAAACCAATAGGAATTGTAGGTCTCTTCAAATCAACTCAAGTATTCACATGGTCTTCATTGGGTAGGTCTGCCTCCAGGTCACATGAAGTTACAAAGTCAAAAGGACATGAAATACTGGAGCAGAGCCTTACCTGTCCAGCCCACATACCTGCTGATAGCTATAGACACCACAGACACCAGGAGGGATTGGCACACTGGCACTGTCAAAGATCCGTTTACTTCCAGACTTGGCGCTGTAGAGTTGAGCTAGTTCAGGCTCCGAGCCCAGGATGGGCACCTCTAACATATCAGCCACGGCTAAATCATCTCTGTGGAGGAGCCCACCCACGATGTAGGCTTCTTTTCCTCGGATGAGATTTTTTATTCTTTTGATTGCCTTGGGACTGTACATCAGGTGAGTGGCCAGGCACATGTGATGCTTCTGTAGGAAGATCATATTATTCTTGTTAAAAGGTGTCCTTTTTCTGGTCCATACACCTAATTTATAATGTTGCACATAATAAATACATTACTAATAGCAGGCTGGGTTATGACCTATCCTGTTGTTTAGCAGTTTAAATTGATAAAAGCTGTTGGGGTGAGGTTCCATAATCGCTCACATCTTTAGTGTGTTGGAAATAGGCTCACTGGGAATAGAACTAATTACTACACATCTGTATTTATTTCAGCCACGTGGAATTATCCTTCTGTCAGAAGGAAAAGAGGCAGGCGGCTTTTGGATAATAGTGATTCGCCTCTGCAACACTTCTGGCATGGTTTAACACTAAAGTGCCTGGAAAATCAATACAAAAACTGAAGGAAAAAGGCCCATCATATTCTTCATGATACAGACTCCTAACTGGGCAGCTCTTTAAATGTTTCAGTAGGAAAAAGGCACTTAACTTGGTACCCTCTTTCCAAAAATCTACCACAATGTCCTTTTCAGAGAACATGCATTTTTATAGTGATTATCAATGGCTCTAGCCAACAATTCTGGGAAGAATTCACAAATAAAAATATTTGAAAAATTCAGCAAGACTCAATTTCATTTTCCAATGACCAACACTTTTCATTTTATTTTGACTAGTTAGAGCCAGCTCAGCCAGCACTTGTAACTGATCATTCAACTAAATTAGCAATTCTATTCATGTCTAATAAGAGCAGAGGACAGAGGCAGGTGGTCAGTACACACAAAAACTAATACAACCATGTTTCTGCTTTCAAGGAGTGGGCACAACTAAGCGCAGCTAATACGTAACTAAGACAAGGTAGACAAGGCCACAGGGAGCTGCAGAGTGCCTTGGGAGGCACAGAAGAGACACAAAGGGTCTATGCTCGTACAGAGAGTTGAAAAGCCAAGTCACTCATTGTCCTTATGCCTCTGTTTCCTCATGTGTAAAGTGAGTTTAACAGTACCTGTCTCACAGGGATGTTCTGAGGACTGAATGAGACAACAGTGCATGGGACTTAGTGAATAGCAGCTAGTATTACTATCATGAAAGAAGTTGGGTTTGAGGTGAATTTTTGAGTGTAGATAGAAGTTTATCAAGTGAAAATGGGCATGGGAAAGCCCATTATTTGAAGATGGGACTCTAGAACCAAAACTATGTTTATTTCCTCTGCTCAAGAGGCAGCATGGCTCAAGGAAAGTGGTCAGTTCTGGAGTTAAACAGATCTGCCTTTGAATCCAGCTCTAGTTAGAAGCTGTATGAGCTGGGTAAGTGACTTAGACTCTGTGAGCACATTCATCTGTTAAGTGGGAGTAACTTGGGTTGCTCTAAGTCTGAAATAAGACCACAAATATAAAACACCTAGTATAATGTATGGCATAGGGTCAACAGTCAATGAATGATAGTATATTTTACAAAGAAACCCTGTTTTAAAAATAAAGCCATTAAAATGTTATGCAAATAATACAATGAAAAGGTGCCAGACTCTTAAGGAAATTCAAGGGGTTTTATAGACTAGAACCTACTCAAATTTTAGTGAACAATTATCTAGTTATCTCAGCATAAAAATGTAGAGGACTGCTGAGTGATTGTTATGGACGAATATTCAATGGGCTTAACTGAAGGCGACGGGAGATGCAGAAGACACAGGACAGACAGACAGACAGACAGAAAGTTGGGGCCAGTTGTGTTGGGCACTCAGGTGGAGACACACAACAGCCTCATTGCTTCTTATCTCTATTGATCTCTTCTCTTTGCTCTGCTTCTTTTCTCTATCTTTATTCTTTAAGGCCTTACTCCTTTACAATTCTTTAAAACCTTGCTTCTAAAGTCTTTCTTTCTATCCTTCAAAATCTCACTTCTAAAGTCTTCTCTTCTGTTCTTTAAAGTCTCTTTCTTTATACTCTCACTGTCCAATGTTTTCTCTTAGCTTTTCTTTAGCATAATCTCTCTTATAGTCTTTGCCCCCAGACTTGCACTGTCCCATGTTCTCTTTAGCTTTCTTAAAGCCGTGGTGCTCAGAGTTGCTCTGTCCCTGTTCTCTTTAGCTTTTCTTTAGTTTAGCTTTTCTAAAGCCTATGTATAAAGTTCTCAGTGCAGACTTGCAAAGTCCTCACAAGCTGCCAACCAATTCTATTAACCCCTCTTTAGCATTTCCTCTTTAGCAATTCTTTTCCCTTCAGCTATCCTCCTCTAGCACTTTCCCTTCAGCCAAAAACCCCTTCAGCAATCCTCCCTTCCGCCAAAAAGCCTCCTTCAGGGAGTCTTTTATACCCAGTGGTAAACAAAGAGGTGGAGCAACGTTTCTCTGGGAGGGGCTTGACATTGTAGCTGGAGAAACCTGCTTTCCTGCTTTTAAACAACTTAGGAAAAGCAACTGAGCTGCATCTTGTCTGCTCGCTCTCTTCTGTGGCCAGGGTTATGCCAAATCTCAGCCTACAGATTATTTGACATAAACATCTTAGGAAAAGTAACTGCTCTGCATTTTATGTCCTCATAGGCTTCTCCTACTCCACTTTCCACAATCTATACAACATGGTATCCATCGACAGTCACTAGTTTGAAGATGAGGAAATTAAGGCTCAAGTTATTCATCCAAAATTGCACAGATAGTACAGCAGAGGCAAAATGGGAATCTGTGACCATGCTTCTCCCATGATCTGCAGTGAGAAGTGAAGGTCTTTGGGTTTATGAGCTGGGAAGAGGGGCAGCAGATGCAGCAAGAGGGCCAAACAGTACAGTTCTGAGCACATTTCCAGCCAGGACAGATTCTGTCTCCCCTAGGTTTGCTTATTTCTGTTGGCAAGTACTCTCTCCGAATCCCTATCATAGTCATGTGTGGGCATGCCTTCGTCTTCAGGCAAGATGGTACCACAGTTATTATATTCAATGTGTGTGTAATAAAGATTCAGATGTGAGTGGGTGATGGCAAAGGACAGACCGCAGGTGTTTGTGACCATTTAGGGAAAATCAGTATCATTGTTTCCAGACAGTGGATTAATCCATTGTTTTAGATGACAAAAATCTAAAATGTTCCTAATTCCCTTGCATTGTGGCCACATTTAATTTAACATCCCTGATTTCTTTTTTTCGCCTGAGACAAAAAGTAGGTGTTTAGAATGTCTTCATAAGCATTAAAGGGCCCAAAAATAGACATGATGACTTTTATAAGAGCACATTTAGCCTTACAAATGTAAACATTGAACAGTAACTTGGAGAAATGCACAGATTTTTGGTGCACTTTAAAAAAATCTCCTCAAAGCCATTCATTTGAATGAAAATCAACACTGATACACTCCCTCAACGCATTAAGAAGAATAAAGCAATAGCTCAATGTGAGCAGGAACTGATTTGAAAGTGAGAATTTAACTTTTGTATTTTACAAAGGTGATTGCCAATGAGTGATTAATTACTCAAATAATTTGAATTTAAGATCTGAGAAAAAGTATAAGTGTTTAAATCCTTGCCTACTTGTTTGTTGTGCTCACCAAGATGCAAACCTACATCACTCTGACTGTGACTCCAACTGCCTGTCTCTTTCCTGGAAGCTGAAGAGGGAACTGGTAGGGAAACTTTCCTAGGGAATAGGATTATAGAGCTGGAGAGGAATTTAGGATTATCGAATCTATCACCCTATATTTTAGATGAAGAACAGAGGACTGGAAAGCTAAAGGCTCAAGGCTTTTTTTTTTTTGTAACCCAAGGCTACAAGCTACTGCAAAGCAGTCGCTGCAGTGTGTGATGGTGTTCTAGGGTACATATCTGGCACGATTGAGAACCCCAGACTAGAAAATGACCAATGTTTTCCTAGCCAAGAAAGGAGAGTGATCATTTCTGTTTTGTTGCTTCTTTCAGAGGATCAAATAAGAACATCGATGCTAAGAGTCTTATAAGTGTTAGTATCTTCTTCACAAATCCTCTTCCCCTTCCATGCCTCTTCAATGGCTGTGGACATTCCAGATGTGCAGAAACTCCTTCCAGCTAGCAGGCAATAACTTGTTTCTGGCTGGAGAAAAGCACGAATTTAAAACACTAATGATAATTCTTTTCCTTCCTTGCTTCCCAATGCCCACAATAATTATGTCACTGAGGCCAGGGAAGAGGTTAGGAAGCATCAAAAAAACCCTTGTGTTGTTAAGAGTATATGGAAGGTTCCCAAGAATATAAGTAAGAGACAATGATTTGTCCCTTGTCCTTTCTCTTTCTTCCCTTGCCTCTGTCCTTGCCTTCCTCTTCCACAGCCAAAGATACCAGTGAAACAGCTGAGCAGAGGACTTTGGGGGGAATAGTGAACTCTTCATCTTGACAGAAGATAATTCATCCTGATGACAATTACTGATCATACTAGGAGAGCAGAAATGTTACAGCAGCCCCCACCCCAGATGGCACAGGACTTTCTCAGGCCCCATCCTTCTCCCTTTTCTAATTGTTAAATCATGGTGCATCTGAAGTGTTAATGGGTACTCACCAAGCACACAGATGCTTCTTGGGTAAAACCTGCAGCCAGCTTCTCTGGCAGTATGTACAGAGCTGACTTTGGTGTAGCTCAGTTGTACATGGAGAAAGCTACCTTTATCAGCAAATTCAGAGTCTATATTTTAAAAGTCTCATCAAAATTGGATAGTCCATTAAGTATTAAAAGTTCATTGTTTAACACAGAAAGTTTAAACTCTTGTTAAAATGTTGAGAAATTCATTTCAAGCCTTTTTTTTTTTTTCTAGAACCCTGCCCTCCTGGTTCCATGAATTTCCTAAAGGTTCTTGTTCAGAGTCAGGATTCCACTCAGAATTCATTCCATTCATTAAAAAAAATCTCAACCTTGTTTATTAGGAACCATGTGACATGACATGGTCAGCCAGGCCAACTTTCCCTGAAGGGGGTGGGGAACTGTGGAGAAGAAACATCTGTATGGAAATCAGAATGCAGTCTAGAGTCTGTTCCTAAGGAGCTTTGTGACTGCACAGGCCAAGCCTTTCTCTGCCCTGTGTCCCCACACAAAATTAAGAAAAAGGATGCTAGATGTTGTAAATTCACCTACTTTGTGGCACCACTCAATAACTGCAATTAGGTTTTAGCCACAGAAAAACCGGGCAGGGGTAGCTCAACTAAGTCTGAAAGTTAAACTGGGATATTTATTTCCCACAATCCAACCAGTAGTCTAATCAGTAAAGCTGTTAAACTTGCAATAATATTTCATTGATGTGTACCAGAGCGTTGCAAGTTATAAAATTTCTAATTTAATTTTACTGCATCCCTGAAGCCGTAGTAATTAGAAGACAAACTCACAGTGAAGAAGTTTATAGCTTCAGGGGTGATAATTTTGAACCTGTCCTGCAGGTCACTTCTGTCTTCGAGGTTCCCTGATTTGACAGCTGCGTGTAGACTCAGGATTTTTTGGTAGTACAGCTTTAACTCATCGGTCATATTATGGGAGCAGATGTAGATCACGTTCACATTGGCATCTAACAAACAAAGGCACGAGTTAATTACTGATAGAAAGGTGAATGACATCAGGAACTCTGACATCTGATTGCTGTGCAGTTTAAAATAAAGAGCACATCCGAAAGCCACGCTGAAGTTAATTTAGTTTGGTTTTCACATATCTTCACAATCAAACCAGCTTTTTGGCACTTACCATTTCTCTAAAGAAAAAACACCATCACTACCAACAAAGCACATACAGTGATGCCTTCAGCAGAAGGTCTGGAGTGCCAGCGAACTGCACGTCCAAATAACACACAGAGATTTAGTACAAGTCCCATTAACATTAGGGAGAATATTTCCCCTTGAGTTCAGAAAATTATAGAACAGAGCTATTAACTTTAAAAAGCTGATGAAATCATGAATTCTTATTCTGCATGGACCTGACAGGGCCAGTTCATGGACTGCCCCGTCCAAATAAATTACTTAGGAAACCAACCTTTTCCCTGCTTCGTTCCCAAAGAGGAGCTAGTACTTAAATAGCATATCTAGTGATTGTTGGGCTAAAGGGGACACTGTGTAAATTTAACTGTTCTTTTTCTTACAACAGACTTCTTATTATGCACACAGAAAGAAATCTTAATTTCATATCCCACCCAAATGGAATAGTGACGTGAGAACACTCCATGTTGCAGGATATTTTAGGGAGTATGGGTAGGAAATTAGCAGCCATTGGAGTTATTTGTTCATTCATTCATAAAATAGTGATTGACATAAACACAAATGGGACAAAGCACTTGACTGGACAGGGAGGAAAACAGTCATCACAGTCACTGAGATGCCGCACTGGAGGAGCCGCAAAGAAACACCAGGGAGAGAAGTGGGCAGACCAGGCACCTGGGCCAGTCCAGAGGAGGAAGTGATGGGAGCATTTCCTTGGGTGTGAAGGGCCAACAGGGATTGTAAGCTTCTTCCATTCAGTTTGGCAGAGTACACAGAGCATAGACTGCTTAAATGTTGGCTCAGCTGCCTGTGACTCTGGACACATTTCTAAGCACTGGTTTCTTCATTTGTAGAATGCGGAGTAAAACCACATAAAACATAGAGTTTGGGAGAGTATGAAATGGCAGAATGTTTATTTACAAAGCACCTGGTGCTGTGTCTGGCACTCAGTAGGTGCTCAATTGGTGGCACAGGTCCATGGCCCACTGTGACTAGGTCAGCTAGCAGTCACACCCCATCTGCCCTCCACACTTGTGCTGTCTTTGATCAGTTCCACAAGATTTAATATGATGAAGTAGTGTCCTCTGTTGTTCTATGCTAATGTATGAAATCTATTAATTTTCTCTTCCGAGCTCTTTAAATTCAAGGTTTATACTCTTTTCTATATTCCTCCAAGTCCCAGTATGGTGCAGGGTACGTAGGAGTCACTCAATAAATACCTGTGGGTTGGCTGAGGGATTTGGGAGAATAGAATGATTTAAAGGGAGAAAGTTGTGTACACTTAGTGAGATTCATGGCATGTGGGAGAAGTCTCCCTCTCTAGAGACCTGGAGGAACCAGCCAGTGCTGGGCTCAGAATATCGACTTGTGCATGTAAATATTTAAAAGACTCCCTTTTAATTTTGAAACCAAATTACCACATAAACTTCAAAATAAATTAACTGAGGTGACAATAGCTAAATAACTTGTATCTAATTGCTGAATGACCAAAATAGTGATGTCAACTCTTGTGTTCTAAAAAAAGAAACTAGTGTTACTAAACTAGTGAGTTTAAAAGCCAAACTGTGCTTTTTGTTTTTTTTTTTTTTTTTTAGGAAGTATAAAAGAATAGGGTTCAAAAACAAACAAAATTACCTTACCAGTTCAGTAGCAGAAGAAAAATTAACTTTTTGTGGGAAGAAATCTCTTGATTATAAATGATAAGAAATCATAATGTTAATTGCACTTTTCTTGTTCATTTCTGGAAAGGAATACACTCAGTGTGCCGCCCAGTATGAATGTGGTGTCATTGCGAATCCATGACTGTTCAGAACTAATTGACAGGTAATTATGGGAAGGAGCTGATATGAAGATGAAAGTGGCTTTGATTGCTAGTCAATAGTCAGACTCAGTTATTCTTTTACTTAACTCATCTAGAAATTGAAGACACTAGCCCTGGAGTGTCTGACAATCCTGATTTCACAGCCAACATCAAGAGACAAGGCTTACCAGTGTTATCAGATTATTTTTATTTTCCCTTGAATAAGCAAAAAAATCAACACCTTTTGCTAGCAATTAATGGAATAAAAAGGATAATTATTCTTCCACAAAATCATGACTAATTTTTCTACTTTCTTCATATTTTTATTTATAAGAAAGTACTTTTTCTTTCATCTACAACTTTTCAACTTTACTCTTTTTGAAGTGGCTATCTGATTGCATTACTATATCATAAAAATGGGGCACTGAGAAAAGACATGATCTCTCAGGAAGGTCCATATTAGCAAAAATTTCCATTGCAGGTGGACACAGACTGAATTATTAGATTATTTAAAATAGAAGGCTAATTCTTCCAAGTCTTTTCCAGTAACGAGCATCTTTCATAAAGAAATTCTGTGTTGATGGGTTTTACTATATATAGAAGGGTATATAAAAAGCTAAAGAACAAATTAATTGAAACAAATTAGAGCAAAGTCTGCCCTCTGCTGCACTTCAGTGGTTTCCATCCCATCAGGTTTTCAGTTGAAAGAGCTCAGCACTAACAAATCAATCTCAAGTCATTACATTTTTTGTTATAATTCTGAAAAACAATATTACTGCCTAGATAATAGATTAAAGCAATTACACTATTATTATTTTAGGACACTGTAAATTTCTAGTGCTGAAGTATTTTTGTTATCAAATGGCATTTATAAAATAATAATGATGCTGAAATATATGCAAATCACGTAAAGTATGTCATTCCAGAGAGCCAGCTAAGTTGGTCAATGAGACTTTAAAATTCTTTCTTGTTTTGCTTAAATAAGGGCCAGAGTAATTATATTTTGGTGAAGCAAAGAAGTTCTTATTTGATAACTAATAGAAATCTGATTTTTATTTAACCCTGAGTTTTTGACCAGTCCCTCTCAAAGGGAAACAATGTTACTGCTTAGCCTTCCCAATCTGTATTATTATTATTTTTTTTTTACCTAACTTGAACCCTGACCTTGACATTCATGCATTCTTTTCTCCTGGACCCAGATCTGTGACTGATTAGAACTGACCAAACCAGTATCAGAACTTGACTTTTATAAAGATGTATCCACCTATCTAACGTTCGACATTTCTAAGAACTCCCTCCACTAGGCATGTCATGTTTTCTAATAACTGGATGCTCTATATTTACATAAAAAAGCTACTTTTGAAAATCTTTCTTCATTTCCCTCTTATTCTTATAATGATAACACAAATGCTTCATTTCCAACACCACCTTTTACACATCCTCCAGACAATATAATAGACAATATTGGTACAAAGGTTGTCACTCACTATAAGAATTCAGTAAACCAAGATTTTGGTATCTTGGAGACCAATTGTTATCCAGACCTACAGCAAACAGAATTTAGAAAACTTCCCATGTAACTGACTAAAGTGTCAATATTTATTCAAGTTTTAATCTGTTAAACAAAATCTTCATTGTCCTGCAGGTAGATAAGAAATCCAAGCCTTTTCCTTGGAAAAGAGAAGTAAGTAAAAAAGAAACATTTTATCAACATCCACTGATAAAAATTGCAAAGTCATTTGTGTAAAAGTATTTACTGTACCTATGATGTCACACAGCCTCCCTAGCTGCATGTTCTGTAGTATGTCGAAATCAACAATGCGTTCTCGAACAGTCTGGGGATATCCTAAAAGGCAAACGAGGTGTCAAAACCCAGAAAGAGCAAGTCAATATAGCATAAAGGCGCATGAGGATTTCAAATGTCACAGTCCACAGTTCCAGAAAAAAATCCTCTGTGCATGTTGCAGAAACAATGCAGATCCCAGGGATAAGGGCTGTGCTTCCCAGGGGATGAAGCGTTTTTCTGAGCAGCATACTCTGCATCAGAGAGGTTCATATCTGCTCCTAGGAATTGGGATGAAGAAACCCGGAAAAAATTTCTGACATTTAACATGGGTGTTCAAAATGGCTTGTAAGAACCTTATGCACAGATGAAAAAAAATGTTTTGGATTTTTAACTCAGGCATCTGTCCTGTGTGGCATTTTGAAAATGAGTCCCAGAATTATTCTGCTCTGACACACAGATTTCAGACAAACCCCTTGCTGTTAGGAATTTGTATTTAAGGATTTCCCGTATCAAAGAGGTAGGTTTCTGTTCTCAATCAAAACAACTTTAAACCTTCAAAGGGCCACAGAGGTTAAGGAATTTCTCTGTCAGTACTAATAAAGTACTGCACTTGGCCTTCATTTCCACTGGAAGTGCAGCAGAAGGAAAGCGCAAAAATCTTCCAAGAAAGAAGTAGCACAGCAACAATTTCTGCTGATATTTCAAGTCTTAAAAAAAGTGGATCCAACTATGAACTTAAAAACATGCATACTCACAAGTAGGTAAAAGTGCTTATATGAAATTCTGCAACTGAAGGTGGAACTTTTTAAAAAACAAAACTGCTTTCAAATTTTGAAGAAATGCTTCAATGCCTCCTTGTGGCTAGTGAGCCCAAACACATGTTTCAAGTCGTAGCTAGAGTGATTTTATAGACTCCATCTTCAAGATATGACACAGATTGCCTTCTCAGTGTAAGGAAAACTACACCAATTCAGGCAACAGAGCTTCAGACCAAACCAACTCCAATAATTGGCTCTTTGATTTTTTTCCCTTTTATTATTCATATGTGCATACAAGGCTTGGGTCATTTCCCCTCCCCCCCCCCGGCCCCCACCCCCTCCCTTACCACCCACTCCGTCCCCTCCCTCTCCCCCCTACCCCCTCAGTACCCAGCAGAAACTATTTTGCCCTTATCTCTAATTTTGTTGTAGAGAGAGTATAAGCAATAATAGGAACGAACAAGGGTTTTTGCTGGTTGAGATAAGGATAGCTATACAGGGAGTTGACTCACATTAATTTCCTGTGCGTGTGTGTTACCTTCTAGGTTAATTCTTTTTGATCTAACCTTTTCTCTAGTTCCTGGTCCCCTTTTCCTATTGGCCTCAGTTGCTTTTAAGGTATCTGCTTTAGTTTCTCTGCCTTAAGGGCAACAAATGCTAGCTAATTTTTTAGGTGTCTTACCTATCCTCACCCCTCCCTTGTGTGCTCTCGCTTTTTTCATGTGCTCAAAGTCTAATCCCATTGTTGTGTTTGCCTTTGATCTAGTGTCCACATATGAGGGAGAACATACGATTTTTGGTCTTTTGGGCCAGGCTAACCTCACTCAGAATGATGTTCTCCAATTCCATCCATTTACCAGCTGATGATAACATTTCGTTCTTCTTCATGGCTGCATAAAATTCCATTGTGTATAGATACCACATTTTCTTAATCCATTCGTCAGTGCTGGGGCATCTTGGCTGTTTCCATAACTTGGCTATTGTGAATAGTGCTGCAATAAACATGGGTGTGCATGTGCCTCTGGAGTAACCTGTGTCACAGTCTTTTGGGTATATCCCCAAGAGTGGTATTGCTGGATCAAATGGTAGATCAATGTTTAGCTTTTTAAGTAACCTCCAAATTTTTTTCTAGAGTGGTTGTACTAGTTTACATTCCCACCAACAGTGTAAGAGGGCTCTTTGCTTTGATGTCAGTTTAAATACTAGACAATGTCTGGGAATTAAATGAGTTTACAATTTGTCTCAAAGTCTCTCTTCACTTTGTGTATACGATTTAAGAATTAAAGAGGCAGGAAGAACCAATGAGCTATTTGAATAATTAGAAATTATATAGAAAATTATTAATTTCTCAAACAATTTAGAGAACCATTGCACAAATGAAAGCTAATAGAGGTAGATATAATTTCAGTGCTGCCTTTATGTATGATTGCAATATTTTAACTTTGAGGATTTTGCATATGCTTAAGTCTATGTTCAGATGTCTAGAAAGCGGTACTGTGAATAACTTACATATCAAGCTTATAAGAAGTTAAGGAACATGCCAAAAGGATGAAGTATGATTAAGTAAAGAGCCTGAGAGCATTCCATGATTGCACGTCCCTTCAAAAATAAAGATAAAAGCCAGTGTAAGATGTCTCATTAAGATGATGTCCAATTTAAAATACAAAAGATGTCTGATCACTTTGTAGCCGCATATGCAGCATATGAGTGCTTAGGTCAGTTTTCCAGCAAATTGCTTGGTACCACTCATGCAGGATCATGATAGAGCTGGTCTCCAGCCCTGCCAATACACCCTTTTTAGGGAATTACACACTAGCGATCTCAGAACATTGTTACAGAGGATCACAGAAGCAATAGGGAGGAAAACATTTTGAAAACTGTAATGTGCTGTAGAAATATAAGGTATTTCAATGTTATGAGGTATATGCATTTCCAAAGCACCCAACCACAACAAATTCTGTGACAAGCAAAACGCACACTCTGTGAAAAGCAATGGAATCAGTAGGGCAGAAGTTGAGAGTTTTTTGGCTGTGTTGGGGATTGAACCCAGGACCTTGTGCCTGCTAGGTAAGCACTCTACCACTGAGCTACATCTCCAACCCCTGGAGTCAATTTTTTAAGAAATAAGTCTTATTCTATGTTTTGTACATCCACAGGCACATGTGTTGACACCCTGTTGGTAGCATATACAGATGCTGTGGAGAGTGCAGCACACTTGCCAGCGCCAGTGAGACACTGGACAATAATCTACAAAGACATGGTTGTGCTGAAGGTCAGACCAGGCATAGTGGGAAGCCTTCAGGGACCACTGGCCTCCACCCTGTCCTGTTATAGACGAGGAAACTTGGGGAAAGTGTCTCGTCTTCTGTCCACGATCACATGAACCTACAAGTTATGTAGTTCAGCCACTACATACGTAGCTTTTGTGACCAATTTAGTGACCTAAAAGACAAGACACCATCCTCCAAATGGGAGCAAAGAGGTCTAGAAGAGACAAAAAGCTTTTGACTCTTTTCTCTCTTTAATTTCAATTTGTTGCAGTAGAATAATAGTCCTCCAAAGACGTCTGTATCCAAATCCCCAGCACCTGTGAACTGCTAGTTACATGACAAAGGGAAAATACAGTTGTAAATGAGCTGAGTTTAAAATGAGGAAATTATCCTGGAGTATCTACTGGACCGATGTAATCATAAAGGTCCTTAAAAGTGGAAGGAGGTGGAAGTAGGAAGTTAGGGACGAGGTGACTAGAAAGGAGAGGCACAGGGACTCAAAGGTCGGGGGCCTTAAAGATAGAGGAAGGGAACCCAGAACCTTCTTTGTGCATTCCTTTGTGGACAGCTTCTAGAAGATGGAAAGGGCAAGGAACTTCTGGGAAGACATGCAGCTCTGCTGACAATGATTTGAGCTCCCTCTAGCCTTCTAAACTACAGACTGTAAGATCCTAAATTTCTATTGCTTTAAGCCACTAAGCATTGTGTCGTTGTCTACCTTCCCTGACTCCACTAAACGCCACTGCTCAGACTTCCACTTCTGTTTTCACCTCTGGTTGAAAGATGAGGGAGGTCAAGATCCCGGCAGCACATATGCACTCAATAGTGTATATTACTGTGATTATCAACAGCATTTCTTTCCTAACTGTGGCTAAGCCAGACTGAAATTCTCAAAAGGAACTTCACTTAAATGTAGGAAAATTGTTATTACTGCAAGCACAGAACTATTGGAGCTATCCAAATACAGGGCTAGCTTGTGCCATCACAAGCCCTTGTCACAGTCCCATATGCCTGACCACTCTTTTCTGAGAAGGTTCCTAGCCTTCCCTCAGTCATTCTCTTGCACACTTTCTTTATGATACTTTTCTCACTTTGCCATGACAGGATCCTTTGCGTGCTTCTTTACTGTGCTGTCTATTTCTCCTCTTCCCTGCATCACTCCAGTTCCTGTAACCAAACTATAAACCCCCTTGAGCTGGCACTTGTAGAGTCCTCAGCCAAATGAATGAATGAGATGTGACTGAAAATCTTACTCAGAGAATCTGTGTGTGCATTCTGAACCCTTCCTCCTCTGGGTTCTGATTCCCTTCCTTCCCTTCAGTTCTCTAAAATTGGGTTCTCTGATCTGGAGAGCTCCTGGTAAATTCGAAGAATGACAAGTGGGAATTTTAGATTTTTCCAGGTCCTTAGCAGCACAGTAAAACAAAACAAAACAAAAAACAGCACAGGCAGAAAGAGGCCCACTTTTTTCCTCCTCACTCTGGAAAGGAGTACAGCCTCTTTCCTTACAGCTATTCTCATCACCTGAAAACCAATCCCAGTTTAACAAGTAAGTCAGTTTTCCCAAATAAGTAGTGTAACATGTTACTGCCTTCGTTTTGGCTGCCTGAGAGCTGCCTCTCTGAAGTTATTCCCACCACTTCCGGTCCTGTACTGAATCTCGGGTGTTCCCCAGTGGTTACTGGCAATTATTTCTCCCAGCTTCACCTTCACCCCTTCCCCAATCTCTGCTCGCACATGAGCACCTATCAGGTGATGCTAGTTTCCTCTTCCCTCCAGCAGACTACCTCTTTTCCTTCACAGCAACCATAAAAACCTGAGAACTAGCAAGGCCACGCCCAATGACCAAGCCTCCTGGTGACTGAGTAGTTGCTGTACATTACCTGGCATGAGATGTAGTCATCCATGCCAGTTTGATGGTCCAAAGCAATAGTTCTCAGCGTTTTTCCCATTGTGAAACACGATTGATGCCGTTCAAGGTGTCACATCCTTGCAGCAACACACACAGGGTTACAATAACCCTACCGGGAAC